GAGCGAGAACAACAAATATTTTAAAATTTGGTATGCCAATTATGTTTCTTTTGTTGTACAACTTTTACACACATGTTGTTATCAGTAGAATGCACTTAAACACATGAAATCTTGTGAGGAACGTTTTTCTTAAATTAGATTTTCTGTTTGAAATTAACATTTGTAAGAGATTTAAGCCACGTGGAACAAAATGAATTTACCCGATCCCTTAAAATTTGTTGTTCTTGTTTTAAAACGTATTAAATGTCATTATAAAGGAACAATTTTCCATAGTAAAGATAGGGGATTAAATGAAGATTAAGGTAGATAAATTGTTGAGAATGCTATATCCTCAAACACAACGTGTAAAAAAGGAAATTACTTTTAAATCTACACATCGATCTGAGGTGATTTTCATCCAATTGAGTTCAATGCATTTTCGTTGTATTAACTTATTTAGAGAGAATCCTATTCACTGAGATTCATTGTATTTTCAGTTGTAGTCAGTTATTTTATTCTAAATGCATTTTCCCTTGTATCAATTATTTCGTTGTGATTTTGTGTTCAGTGAAAAATACTCAGGTTGCAGTGTGTGCTACTGACATCGACAGATATAAGTAGTATGTATCATCAATCGAAAGTGAAATGCCTGGCGGCAGGGTGTTAGGAAGATTGAAGAAAAGTGAACGAGAACAGAGAATGATTGATGTGGAGACGAAAGAACAATGAAGTCTTAGACAATTGATTGATATTTTGTAAATAGTCCTCAGATTTCACTAAGATTTTCTGTAATTTTGTATTCAAATACATTCGACTATCCCCACTTGTGTTCTCGTTCACGACAAGGTGAACAAATTCTGTAGTTAATAATCACTGAATCGATTAATAAATGAATTAACTTGAAGGTTATTTAATCTCTCTGGCATAATGGATTGCTTACTCTGATTAGTGGGTAGTGAAGAAGAGGATAAAGTAGTCTCATTCACCATATTGAAGTCGAAGTTGTAAATGAATAGATTATTACACGAATGTATTCTAAACTTACATTGCCTTATCGGTGGAATGGATAAAGTTAATTACACCAACATTGTTGGGTTGATGAATTACGAATGTACAAGTGTTTATTTCATTTTATCACCTAATATATCATACAGTTATGAAAAACTACTTCTCATTACATCGATTAAATTTACCAGAGATCAACTTTTTTAAACACCATTTATTTATTATCCTTATGACCTTTAACAGACTATATCAAATAAACACGAACATGCGAATAAAATGTACAAAATGACCAATTTTGTGAATGGTAAAGCTTTTTAAAGTCTGTCTTTGTATCTAATAACTCTGCACACTTCACAAGATATATTCTTGACTAACTAATCGTTCAAAAATAAATTTTGGTTACATTATCATGTGCAGGGAGTTGTACAGTCCTCTCTGGTTTTCCATGGGAACTTAATATATTTTAACCGGTGATTCAACCCACTTATAAACCAGAAAATTTCTCAACTAAGTTACATCGATTTATAGAAATTACACCAAAACGAACAGATGAATTCATCTCGTTAAGTTTTACTACTACATCACATTCTAACTCAATGTCAATTTTATTCAGTATTACTCCTGTTTCAATTTAGTATGAAAATTAATCGGCATAACATTCATTTTATTTCAATGTTACATTTATTCGGTATAATATTCTTTTGTATTAAATTGATGTGAATTTCGTTTAGTATGATATTCAGCTTGTACTTAGCATAAACGTTGGTGCCGAAATCTGATTTGGTATTCCTCCCAATTATTTTATAATACATTTCAGATGACTGATCATCAAACACCCGTAAAATCAATCAAACAAAATGAGTGTATTACGTTAGCGATAGTCCTGTTTTTTTGGAAAGTCAAATAAATCTGCTCCTTTTGAAAAGAGCAAGAACAAAGATTCTAGCAGAATAGCATGAATTCATTTTATTTCGTAGGTTCTCGTCAGCTGCTTACAACCTGTGTTATTTAAAAATCATAATTACATAATGGATTTAAATTGCTTACAGAATATTGTAAATATATACCTAATGTGAAAGAATATTCTACAACATTAATTGTGACAACAGTTCAAAAAATGGGTTAGAAACAATTGATTACATAATGAATAAACATTGATAGGAATATAGTGATTAGAGTTCAGTTGAAAGATTATTAATTTGAAAGATAATTGAAAAAATAAATTAGAACCAATGATGTAATAAATGCAACAGAAAAAAGAGGGAAAAAAATAAAAAATTTTAAGGTTCAGTGAAGAAATATTTGTCACCAGGGTAAGGAAAGATTAACCACCGTCTCCTTTTGAATACATAGGTCAGGTTTTTGTCGCCTGATGGCAATGGCTTCAGCAAACTTCAGAAGACCGGAGTTTGGCTGCTTACTAATCAACCTAAAGGATTGTAAGGTATCTACCTGATGTCCTGTATCAAGGAGATGTTTGGTAATCGCACTGTTCAGTCTTTCTTTCCCTTGTTCTAAGACTTTTTGGAACATGTTCAAAGAATCTAAGATATGCTCTCCTTTCAGTTCGGCCGATGTAGCTGCTTTGGCAGGTACACGTAAATTTACAAATACAGTTGGCGGTAACATGAAAGGGTTGCTTGTCGATCTTTGATTGGGTTATTGAACATGTTGTTTTATAGAGAATTAAAAGTTTAGCAGCCGGATAAGTTCTGGCTAGCGCTGTATTCAGTCTCTTGTTGATAATTTGTGCGACGTCATCACCTTTAAAGTTAAGATTTATATATACTGGTTTTTTATTGACCATAGTTATTTCCGTCTTCTTTTCCTTGGGCCTTTTATATTTGTCAATAAATTTTTGTGGATAAACGTTGTCTTTTAGGCATTTTTCTACGTTCATTAATTCTTCTTCCAGTTTGTCGGTGGTGCATATCTTTTCTGCCCTGTAAAATAGTGTTTTAACCAACGCCTTCTTGTAACTAATTGGACAAAAACTATTGAAATTCAGGTAGAGGCCATTCCAATTACTCTTTCTATAAATTGAACGTTGAACTGTCCCGTCTCCCCTGCGTTTTATGGCAACATCAAGAAAGTGGAACATATCGTTCTGTTCGTGCTCCATAGTAAAATGTATGTTATTATGAGCGTTATTGAAGAGTTTGAGCAGGCGGATTGCATGTTGTTTATTATTACAGATAATAAATGTGTCGTCCACATATCTTGAGTATTCCGTTGTTTCACTAATTGCCTGTTTAAGTATCGTGTTCTCAAGATATCCCATAAAAATATCTGCCATAATTGGACCTAGTGGACTACCCATTGCTACGCCATCGACTTGGCGATATCTGGTGTTGTTAAATTGGAATTGAACATCTGTTGTACATATTAGTAGTAGTTTTTTGAATTCTGAGGCTGGTAAAGGTAGGAGATCTTCATTCTGACAAATTATATCAATAGTTTCAAAAAGTGGTATATTGGTGAACAAGGATGTTACATCAAAAGAGACCATGAACTTGTCGTTAACATTCGTATGATTTAGTCTTTCAGCAAACTGGAATGAATCTCTTAACGTGTATGTTGCTAATCTACGACGAACCGGTTCTAGTTTTTCTGCTAACCAGCGTGCGACTTTATGACCTATGTATTCAAAAGGGGACGGTGGTTAATCTTTCCTTACCCTGGTGACAAATATTTCTTCACTGAACCTTAAAATTTTTTATTTTTTTCCCTCTTTTTTCTGTTGCATTTATTACATCATTGGTTCTAATTTATTTTTTCAATTATCTTTCAAATTAATAATCTTTCAACTGAACTCTAATCACTATATTCCTATCAATGTTTATTCATTATGTAATCAATTGTTTCTAACCCATTTTTTGAACTGTTGTCACAATTAATGTTGTAGAATATTCTTTCACATTAGGTATATATTTACAATATTCTGTAAGCAATTTAAATCCATTATGTAATTATGATTTTTAAATAACACAGGTTGTAAGCAGCTGACGAGAACCTACGAAATAAAATGAATTCATGCTATTCTGCTAGAATCTTTGTTCTTGCTCTTTTCAAAATGATAAAGGGAACTATGTGTATGAAAAATCTGCTCCTACTATCAGCCTCTGCCTTATTCCTTGTGTTGTGGGAATCGTACTGATTTCTTGTTTTCAGTATCAGTTTTCGAAACTTAACAGTTATGTGTAAGGTAACCGATGTGTGATGACGAGAGTGAAATGCGATTGGTCATTGAGCGTGGACAAACAGCTATCAAGCCTACTACTGACTATGATTTTCTTTGCTGCATTCGATTTCTACTCCGTACTCGCTGAGAGTGACTGTTTGAAATTATGTTGGGTAAAGTGTTGTCTGGTATTTACTTTGGTTCTCTATTTTTGGTCATGAGTCGCATATATGACATAACGTGATCTAGTTTCTGTATGGGGTGCCGTCCAAGTATCCAATCTAGCGTATCGTGGTATACGGCAGAGAAAGTAACCATCCGTCATATTGCTAACAATTACAAATATGAACTTGTTAATTTTGCAGAAATCGTAATTTGTTATTGAGGTTTATTCCAGTTATTTTAACCACCTTCAAATAAATAATTTTTCCTCAAAAACATGTACGAAAAATTTTCGTGGTGAAATAAGAAGCCTCTATAATTAGTAATACGTGAATTGCTAATATATGGTTTGATTCACTATTTCTATTGTGTGATAATAGTCCATTATCACAAACATCAAAGTTAATGGGACTGATGAAACTAGCCTAATTAAAGAACGAAAACTCTGTCGTATACTACCTGCTACAATAAATGCTTGTCGCTAACAATAATACGTACAGGAGTGCAAACATGTCAAGGTATGTATGTAGAAACAGTGCATCAAGTTTAGCATGTTAACTTTTTACCTAAGTCGTTATGAAAAAAAAGCCAAAATAAGCTGAAAAGAACATAAACAAATACAATAATTAAGAAACTATTAGAGATAATCACTAGTAAAAACATCGAAAATTACTTTTATTCGCCAGACCATTAGAGTAGAGGAGGCAATCTTTCGTACCGGTCCCCATGCTGGCTCTTTCTCAGCAGACTCCTCTGCAAATAAATCAAGGAAATCATATATCAACACTTTACTTTCTCATTTATCCATTAAGCTTTAAACATATAACCAAAATCATTATAGGTTACTAGCTTTTAGTATTCAGAACATAATCTACTTAGTGATCGCTGCTATAAAAATTCTGAACCCAATAACTGTAATGAAGGTAAGCTTTTAATGTAACACCTGTAATTTATGGAAAGATAAAATATGCTTTTGTAGAAAAGGTTGTTAGGAATGCTAACAGAAAATAAAACCAAATTGGCTTACTATTCATATTAAACTACCAAGGGTTCCGTAGACTCCTATATTGAGTATGGAATGCAAACTTAATCCACTCGTTTAAGTATTTACTCTTGATACGCTACCGAAGTTTGATATTTATTTCAACTCCACTCATTAACATCGTATCGAGAAAGGACTGTCGATTTAAGTTATTCCATATCCTATTCAAAAATATATGTTTGATCGAATAATATCAGATGATTACAATTATCACAGTGATACGTTGATATTTCAGCAGTCGGTTAAAGCATAGACGATCATAGAGACTTTTGTAGTTTACAACATAAACTGGTTATGCAAAAACAGGTATTGGAGAAGAGAGCTTTGGATGGTTGTTTATCTGAGTGCATGACTGCTTAACGGGGTACACCCACAGCACTCCGCTGAAGAATGAACCCGGGACCTCCATGTTTCTTGATGAGTATGTTATCTTGATACTACGGAGTTGGTATTTAATAGTTCATAGTTCTAACGTCAGTCAATTCATAATAATATGCGACAAATGTCCCCTGCCACTGGTGATACCTGTCTCGCATTTGACATTGTGGATTATTTTTGAGATTGGGAACACGTCTGTGTGATGTAACAACTAATGTGAAGTAAGCAGCTTATGTAACCACTAGATTTAATATCACTATACAGTTGAGGTGCATTAGCATTTGTAATGGCAGATAGGATGAGCTAGATTTCCATACTACTAAACGAAGTGTACTTTCAGTTAGACATATACACATGAGATAAGCTATACGCTTAGTAACTCACTTATTTACTTACTCTTGATACCCCTCGAAGAGGGGCATCGGCTTCCCACCAGGGTTCTCAACCCAACTCTGTCCTGGGCAGTTCTTTCCAGTTGTTCCTAATGGCTATTCATTTTATAATGAAATCCTCAGTTTACCAAATAAATCAGCCATTTGCATGTAAATGGCTAACATTTTATGTAAATTGCTCTTTATGGTGCTATAGCTTTGTACATACAGTGTTTAGTTTTCATAGAAGTACAGCGAAATTTGTAGTTTCTGACACCAACAACTACTGTACAACTCGGGTCTGATATGGACATATGGTGATTCTTAAACTGACCGATTTATTAGATCCACCCACTGGCTGTAAATGACGGAATACTTCACTGTTAACTGATTATTATGTAGCAAAGAAATAGTCATCATGTCTTGTTTATGGAATAATAACAAACAAACCAATAAACATTTTAATTTCTATCAGTTGGCATCCTGAACAGATTCATTATCAACACAAACGTCAAGATACTAAAATAAATAAATGTTGTCAAATCCCTAAATTATGGATGACCATACGGATTATTTTGAGGAATAAGAACTAGGATTTAGAGTGAGAAATTAGAGTTAGGAATTAGAATCATGGTTTCCATCACTAAACGGTACTAACCATGCTGCCCAAATGTTATCTTGCCATTTTGACGAATGGATTTCACACCAATACAAGATTCATAAGCTTAAACCTGATTGATCCGTCTATAAACCAGTCCCGCAAGTTTTTGCCAACTTGTAAGCCGAACAATCCTGACTCTGTCTGAGCCCCTAATTTATAATTCTAAACTTTCCTCGTTCATCTATCATACCGGGACCATGCATCCCTAAGAATCTTGTTATTTGTCGTAAGTGGTTTCGTAACCGAACGCTGTTTCCGAAATAGTTAATAAGCAGCTCAAAGCCGTTACTAAAATATGGTTCTACCGCACCAATAATTACTACTACCATCTTGAAAATCATAAACTTAATTCGTTAGTGATAGCAAAAGACTAGACATTAAGTAACACAAAATAAAAACCGAGATCAAACCACTAATTACTAAAATGGTCATATGGATAGACTTCATTATTGCTATCGATATTTTAATACTCACTTTTTACAGCTCTTTCTACATCGGACCCGAAAAGTGCAAGGTTAGTGTCCTTCCAACTGTACACCTCGCTCACAAGACAAGCCATTTCATAAACAAAACGAATTAATGTTTACCGTCTAAATACCTGGGTTTAAAATTACTTTCTATGGACCAATAAGATTACAATTATTAGTTAAATCGATCACTTAGACGCAATTGGTTAACCAATGAGACATATGATTGGTCACAAAAATTTCAGTGTCTTACTTTAGTGTGGTAACAAAAGTAATGTTCACGAATAACCAATAGTAATTTAGATGTGAGTATTCAACTTCAGTGAATGATTCATTTACATCACTCGGTCTTTAGTATGTGAAATAGTCTAGTAAGGACTGTTATTGTACAAAATGCATGTGGAATTGTTGATGTAAGGCTTCATTCAACCGTTTTCGAAATAGATTGTTTGTTCAGATTTGGTGCGGCAACTAAAAATTTGGTGTCATTACCAAGGTTTAACATAATAATTACAAATCAATTGAACATTGGACAGATTGTTAATAGCAAAGTAATAGGGCATCTATGATATCCAAATGAGTAGAAACTAGGATTCCTGACGTTTTGCAATTTAGTTTAAGTCCCTTCTCCAGAGAGTTAACTCACGCTAATTTGTTTCAGCTATTTACTTGCTCTCCGAAGAAGCGATTTAAACTGAGTTACGAAACGTCGGAAATTCCAGTTTCTACTCACTAAGAGTTCACTCAAACTGCAGATTTAGTGTACTTCGAACGTGAATGAAGCATTACTAAATTCACGCCCTTCATTTTCTGTTTTAGGTTTTTAACCTACAGAGCACATAATACACTACATCAATAAACAGAGACTGGTTAATGTTGTGAAAACCACTTGTACTTAATTCATAAACAATACTACTAACTTAAGAGTTTTTTCAGTCCAGCGTACAATTAATTTTCAATGATCGGCTTAGATGCAGAACAAGTTTTAACATGTTATCATTAGATAAATAAAGAAAATGAATTCAAGAATCTTAATAACGCAATCAGATGACTAAGCTTATTAGGACTAAGCTGATCAAATTAGTTTTCTAATTAGGTTATTGTGATTTATCAAGGGGATTAACTGGGTTGAATTAGGGAACCATAAAACAAATCATCAACTCCAAAATAGTTAAATAAAACTTGTTTATACTTGGACTTGAAAGTTTAAGATTATGACCTTATCACGTAACACAATATGAATATTAAACAAAAACACGAAGATTTCAATTTCAGCTTCAATAGTTCCCATGGCGTGTAAACTTACGTAACAATATTAAGGCGGCCTGCTTGAGCATCTGGGCTACCTGTTCCTGCCATCTAAATATTTCAACAAGTTATCTATTTTTGTTTGTTTTAATATATCATTATGTCTATTAATCGCATAACCTATTCTGCTGCGTTTCTAAAAAGTGTACAACCTTTCGTTGTCAAAGTTACAAAAAGCTCAATAAGCGAGAATGTGGTTGCTGGCAATATACAACGAAAAAAATGTACATTATTCAGATGTTCATTTACTGGACTGTTAAGATCTAACTGGCAATCACTCGATATTTATCGCCAGGACCGACCAGGAAGAAAGAAACGGAAACCTGTTGAAATACTTTGCGCTGAGAATTCTACATTGTACCAAAAATATAATATTGAATAAAGCTAATAATAATAATAATAATAATAATAATAATAATAATAATAATAATAATAATAATAATAATAATATATTCTCTGCATTTCTACCATGAGAAAGGAGTAACTATCATTAATTACCTAGAAATGTTGCTCTGCACGTAATCCTAAGCCATGTTTTGGATCAAATGAGGGAATGACTGCTCCGAATGAATAACCTATTAGTGTTAATCATCCCCTACTTAGCAACAAGATAGATGAATAGTTGATCACGAATGTTTTCTGGATATTTGTTCAAACTGTAGCGAGTTTGTGTAGATATTTGAATTCAATGATTAAGATCACGGACTAATCTTAATTAGACAACAACTGGAAACCAAGAAGCATTGGACAACTGTCTCATTCTGGTATTGGGCTCATCAGTGAGAATCCGCGACCCTGCGGGGTACTGAACCCATGCCCTCCGATCTCGCGATGTGATCGCTGTGGGACCGAAGGTCCTGGGCTCGACCCCTGGTGGCAAGGTAGTGGTTACGCATGGACGCGGAGTTCAACACTAAGATGAAATAAATGTCCAATGCTTCCTGCTTTTCCATAGTTGTTTAACTGAAATCAGAGAACTTTTCTCCAAAAACAGATTAGTCGGAAAATCTAGAGAAATAAGTACTTGGATAAGGCGATATTAGGTCAAATTTTTATTTATAAAAGTTAAAGAACTCCAGAATGAATTATGTTGACCTTTATGGGTGTGTTTGTTGACCAAATATCTCAGTATAAAGAAACGAAATTTTATTGAAGGTTTATTAGTTAGTTGGAGGTGTATCCGTGATTTCATTCCAAGTTAACCTTATTAATTTTAAAACAATTAGTCCCTTCGATAAATTTCGATAATGCAATTAGTAGACGAAGTTTATCAGAATTATGTGATACATTTGTGCAATGAATTTAGAACAATCTGATCACATATATACTTGTTAAGAACATTTATAAGGGTAAGCCATAACAAATAAAAAAATATTAAAGTACACAAAAACAAATGTGATTACCACTCTGGATAATAAATCAGTATTACCAGGGTAGGTTAAGTGTAAGGACAAATTGTTTTTGAACACATAAAGGGGATTTCAATTTCCGTATAGCCAAGGCTCCAATAAACCTTAATATACGTCCTTGAAGGCTTTTGTATAACACTACAAATGCTTATTTGACGTCAACCTTATGACCCGTCTCAATCAAATGTTTCGCAATGGAGGATGATGTCTGTCATCATGTGATCTTACTTGACCATAGGAATCCATTTGTTTCTGCAGTCATTTTGGTATGTAGGTATCATTACCAAGGTTTGATTTTGTAATTTTGAATAAACTGAGCACTGGGTAGATTGTTATAAATAAATAATATATTTGTAATAGTACTATTGTACTATTTAAACCTGGATTAATTTTAATTTGGTTATTTATTCTTTGAAGAAGTGACTTACACTAAGTCACGAAACGTCAGAAAATCTCATTTTCTATTCATTGGGATATTACAGACATATTATTTATTTACATTTTGGTATGTGTTCACCCACCCTTGATTGCAAATCACGATTGCTCCTCCCTATGTACGTGTTTCCACATATACATGTAAATTGATAGACACAATGGGATGTGACAATCGCTTCCGTGCTGTTTGGGCTTTTGGTGAAACACAGACCTTGTCTTTTCGATAATGACAGGTTGGGCTGCATAACATGTCCGGTTGATAGCTAATTTAAGTCTCTGTTTCAACATGAGACTATTTGTGTCACATCTGAATGGTAACGTAATATAAACTCGCTTTTTGGGTGCCAGAAGCGCCATAGGTCTAGTCCTATTGCAACCCCTCCAGCGGTTTGTGAACTTCAAAGAGTAACCATTATTGATTAACGCGTCAGTCAAGAGCTTCATCTTTACTTCAATAATATCACTAGTACAAATACGATTGATTCTATTGAATAAGCTCTTTATTAAACCGCGTTTATAATGAATAGGGCAGTGACTATGAAAATTAAGATATTGTCCTGTCCATGTTGGTTTTCTATATATAGCACGTTTGATGGAACCATCATCTCTCCTAGTTATCAGGATGTCAAGAAAAGGAAGTTGGTTGTTCTTCTCTTCTTCACATGTAAGCGAAATGTGCTTTTGACTACTATTGCATTCTTCTAACAAGCAGTTTATGTCTTCACTTTTATCACCTATGATTATTATGTCATCTACATATTGTTTATACAGACCCATCTTTCGAATTGAGTCTTCAACTAAATTTTCCACATATCCCATGAAACCATCAGCCAGCAATGGTCCTAGAGGGCTGCCCATAGCTACACCATCTATTTGTTTGAAGTGTTCACCTTCAAATGTGAATTTTATATTATCTGTACATAATAATAATAAATCTTTAAGAGTTTGAACAGGAAAAGGCAGTGGAAGGTTATTCTAAGAAATAAAGTCACACAAAATATCAATGGTTTTCCTGAGAGGTACATTTGTAAATAAAGTGTTCACATCAAAGGAGCACATTGTCTCTGTCTTTATATTTATATCCTTTAAGTAATTAATTAATTCAAATGAGTCAGTCAAAGAATACTTACAATATTGATTTCTGATAGGGTTTAATAATTTTGTAAGCCATTTTGCAAAGTTGTGTGTAGGCGACCGACACATCGATGGAATTGGACGTGGGGGGGTATTAGGCTTATGAATTTTTGGTAATCCATATAAATTAGAATATGCCGAACCCATAGGTTTTAATAAATTAAACTTATCCTTGTTAATAGCATTCATGTTTAACAATTTCACAAGATTCGAGTTTACTTTCTTTTCTAATTTACGTAATCCATTGAAGTCAACATCAGCCGAAAATTTGCCTTTATCACTGAGAATGGATTCCATTTTATTTTTTTTTGTAATCGGACTTATTCATAATAATAACACCAGATCCTTTATCGGGTTTAATTATAATAATATCGGGATTATTTCGCAATTCTTTTAATGATTTGAAGTGCTGCGAAGTAAATGTGCTTCTGTACTTTGGTCCAGAAGAATGAAATTGATGCACTTTATCCACTAGTTTGGCTTTAAACCAACTTTGATTCTCTAAGGACGAAGGGCAAATATATCACATAATTCTGATAAACTTCGTCTTCTTGTTGCATTGTCGAAACTTATTAATTTTACCCACAAATTGACTATCTTGTTTTAAAGAAACATACATAATTTTTTTGCATTTTGTTCACAATTAAATTGTCCAATGAAATAGAAACGTGAATAAGCATAACAAATTCTTTTTTCATTTATCGGAAAGTGATTCTCATTCAAAGATAACTTTTGCCAACGACTGACACTATTTGTCAAGTTTTAAAAACCTAGTGTCAGCTGGAAAGTTTTTTGTCCAGGATCAGGGATACTAAGCGAAAAATTGTTGTAGACCCATCAGAGAGTCGAACCTCG